CTCCTCCCAGCTGGACACACGTTCTCCAAGACATCCTGTCCCACCATCCTTGGGGCTAATCCTGCCTCCTGCTGCAGCAGGGACCACCAGGACGAGTTCCCTGGGTTTTTATTTCCCTTTCCTTCTGGTCTATCCTGGGTCCATTTGCTCCCTGCACTTTCCCCCTCCAGACATCCCATTCCCACAGCCCGAGCTTGGCCCTGGATGATGAACTGGGAAGGTTCACCAGAGATGGAGGGATGGGGGTCCAGGAAGGCCCCAAAACATGGTACAGGGATGTCCCTGTGGATTTATGTCCCTGTCCAAACCAGCAGCCAAGGAAAACCAGCCCAGCTCCCACTAACCCCAAGCTGCTCCAACCCGGGTTCACACTCAGCCTCTGCTCAGAGGCACTTTTGGGGGATGGGGCTGAGGGCTCCCAGCTCCTTGGCTCCTGGATGGACACCCCCCCACACACACCCCCCCCTGATCCCAGGTGGGATTTGCAGCCACCCCGACCCACTGGAGCCAAGGGAAAGGAGCAGGGAAGCTGTGGAGATCCGCGGGGAATCATGGAATGGTTACGGCTGGAAAAGCCCTCCGAGATCTCCAACCCCAGACATCAGCCCAGCACCACCATGTCCATCCCTAAACCTTGTCCCCAGGTGCCACATCCACATATTTTGGGAGCACTCATGTTTTCCTCCATCCAGCATCCGACCAAGCCCTCAGGAGAGCTCAGTTGTTGTCACCAGCTCTGCCCGGCGGCTCGCCGAGCACGTCCCCGGGCTGGGTGTGGCACAGGGGGGTGGCACAGGGAGCTGTGTCCCCCCAGGGCTGGCCCTGGGCTGGGTGTGGCACAGGGGGGTGGCACAGGGAGCTGTGTCCCCCCGGGCTGGCCCTGGGCTGGGTGTGGGGGGTCCTCACCAGCAGCCTCCGGCAGTACCCGATCTTCCTGCTGCCATCCACGTTGGTCAGCACGAACGAGAAGGTTTCACTGCAGGGAGAGAAAACACGAGGGGCTGGGATGGGCTGGGATGGGCTGGGATGGACTGGGATGGACTGGGATGGGATGGGATGGGATGGGATGGGATGGGATGGGATGGGATGGGATAGGATGGGATGGGACGGGATGGGACGGGATGGGACGGGACGGGATGGGATGGGATGGGATGGGATGGGATGGGATGGGATGGGATGGGATGGGATAGGACGGGCTGGAAAGGGCTGGGACGGGCTGGGACCGGCTGGTATGGGTTGGGCTGGGCTGGGCTGGGCTGGGCTGGGCTGGGGTGGGATAGGCTGGGACAGGCTGGGATGGGCTGGGATGGGCTGGGATGGTCCGGGCTGGTCCTTCCAGCCCTCAGGAGCACAGTAGGAGTGGGGGAGCCCAGCCCAGCCCAGCCCAGCCCAGCCCAGCCCAGCCCCCAGAGGGGCAGCACCTCGGGAACTCGGTGACAGGGGCCCAGTTGTTGCCGTCGGGGAAGCAGAAGAGGGGGATGGCTGTGAGCAGACGTTCCTCCTCCTCCCTCTGGCCCTTCAGCAGGTTCTCACGCTAGGGGTGAAGGGGTGAGAGGTGGGTCAGGGTGGTGGGGGGTGCCCATCATGCCCAGGGATGGGGGGGACGGGCTCTGTCCTGAGTGACCCCCGGCTGGGCCCAATGCACATCCCTGGACAATCGCCAAACCCCAATTTCCCCCTCACTCACCCCATGGATAGTGAGGCAAAGCTGAGGCTCCCCCTGCAAAGGGGGAGTCTCCTCCTGTGCCACTTCCCCAAGGTGTGATCCCACCACTGTGCTCCCCCATTTTGGGCAGGGGTCTGGGACCCCCCGGGAGGTTCCTGCTGGGCTCTGTGGCCCCGGGTGGGGACATGGGAGGGACAGAAGGTCCCAGCAAAGCCCCCACCTCTGGGGCACAGGGTGTTTTTCTTTTTTCTTCCCCCTACCCTGGATTTAATGATGGGGAGGGAACAACATTCCCTTTTTTCCCTCTAAATTTGGAAGGTTGGATCCGATCAGAAACAGGGCACCGAATACCTTTGGGAATTGGTAGGAGATTCTGGGTTCGTAGCGTCCCTCTGAGACCTTCTTGAGCGACACCACCACCAGGTACTCGAAGAAGAACTGCCCAGAGCAGAGAATGGAGCTCCTGTCCCCCACCTTCCCCTGGGGCACCCGGGGGGGGTTGTTTTCTGCAGCAGAGGCCTCATCCTTTCCTTCTGTACTCAAAAAAAAAAAATAAAAACAAACCGAAAAACTCAGATCAGAGGGAAATGAGGAGTGTGAGGTGTCCTGAGTCACACACGGCCTGGCCAGAGGGGCTGGAGGGAGCCGGGACCTGGTGTCCCAGGACTGAATAGCTGGGAGAGAAATGGCTTTCCTGAGTCTTTTTGGGAAAATCCAAGTGCCCTCAGACCCCCCCAGCCCTCCTGTGCCCCAGCCCAGGGTGGGAGGGCACAGGGCTCTGGGGACATGTCTGCAGGGAGCTGTGGGAACATGTCTGGAGCAGCTCATTGTGTCCCCTCGGGGGAAATGAAGAGCAAACAAACAGCCCAGGTCTTGTCCCAGCACCTCCAAAGGCTCCAGGGGGGTGAATCCCTGCCAGAAATCCTCAGTGCTGGGAGTTGCTGGTGGCAAGTGAGCTGCTCCAGGGTTTTTCCTAAAGCACAGCTCCCGAGGATTCCTGGGATCACACCCCAGTTCTCGTTGGGCCGGTTGGGCCCTGGGGAGTGTCAGCTCCCACACCCTGGAAAACCCGGAAAAAGAGGGAACAGAGCCCCAGCCAGCATCTCCAGGGGATGGTCGTGGAGGGGCGTCTGAAGCTGGGGAGGAGGAGGAGCAGTTCAGTGCTGCCACAGCTCTGCCCTCTCCCAGAGCTGCTTGTGACTTCTTTGTCCTGGTTCCTGGCACAGGGACTGTTCCAGGCTGGGCTCTCTGCTCACCCCGGGAGCTGGAGGAGATAAAGCTGGAGCCGCTCTTGGGAACAACAGGCAGGAAAATAAACTGGATGAAATCAGTGGCTCCTGTGGTTCGTCCCCAGATCCCGGGGTTTGTCCCGTGGCTGTGACCAGCTGACCCCATCTCCCTTCTCCACACACGGCCTCCTCCTCCTCCTCAGGCAGTACTGGTGGACATCCCACCCCATGTATCCATCCTTTAGTCTGGAAACACCTCTGCAGCCTTTGCTCCAGGTCCTGGGGAGCTGATGGGAGGAGGTGACACAGTCCCACCATGGGATGTCCCTTCCCAGGGACCAGAAACACCTTTTACCAGCTCAGGGAGCCCTGGGGCTGGTCCAGCTCCACGTGCAAAGTCCTCCCTCTTGGCAAAGTGAAACTCATCCCAAAGAGGTGCCTTGGCAGCAGGGGCAGCCCAGGAGCATTCCAAGGCTGAGGACACCTCTGGTTTGTCCTCCCTGGGGGTCCCTCCGTGACATTCCATGGAAAAGATGGACAAAATGGGCTTTGCTTGTCCTGCTCCTCCTCGGGATGCTCCAGCGACAGCTTTGGTCCAATCCCACCCCCAGGGCCGGGCAGGAGGTTGTTGGGGGTCCCCAGGGACCACCCGGCTGTGCCCTGGGGGGGCTGCTGGTGTCCCCCGTCCTCGCTGGACACAGAATCAATTGTTTTCCCATCACCGAGGCAGGATGAGAGTCTGGTTCAATCCTGCCTTTCCAGTCCCGTCCTGCATTTCAGGGAACACCGGAGGAGGGGCTGGATTTGCATCTTGGCCGTGGGGTTTCCAAGTGAACAAGTCAAACCCGCTGCGGGAGGAGGAGGGGCCGCTCATCCCGGGTTTTGCCTCCGGCACATGGAGAAGTTTGGATCGCTGGCTCCGGCTGCAAACCCTCCTGGCAGAGCCTAAACCCCTCGGAGACAACAATTCTCCATCCCTGGGCTGGAAAAGGCGCTCTGAGGATGTCCGGGGTGCGCTGTCCAAATGTGGCATCAGAGATCCCGGTGCTTCCCGAACCCAGAAGGATTCCCGGCCCCTCGGCTCCCGAGAGCACAAAACACCATCACCAGACTCCCCCACAGCCCGTGCAGGGGAGACTCAGGGACCACTCGCGGCCCCCCAGCACCAGGAACATCCCCTCGGGAGGAGGGCGATGAGTCGGGTGGCCGGGGGTGATCACACGGCTCCTGGGTGGGGTTTATGGGGTCTCTGGGGGGTCCTGGGGTGTTTGTGGGATCCCTGGGGGGGGGGGTTCTGGGGTGTTTATGGGGTGTTTGTGGAGTCCCTGGGGGGGTCTTGGGGTGTTTATGGGGTCCTCGGAGGTTCTTCTGCTCCCTGGGGTCTCTGGGGTACGTTGAGGGCACCTGGGCTGGGCCCTTCAGGGTTTCGGGGGGGTGTCACAGGGTACATAAGGGGGTGTTGGGGGGATCCTGGGGTGGCTCCTCGGTGCCTGTGGGGTGTGTGGGGCTACTGGGGTGCAGCCCCCTGGCCCTAATCCCCTCTGAAACACCCCCGGCAGTCCCAGGGACTGGGTTTGGGGCCAGGGACACCGTGAGCAGTGAGAGGGGTCGGGTCCCCTCGCAGTGGATCCTCCCCCTCCATCCTGCGGGCACGGGGAGGGCAAAGGCTGCCCCGGGCTTTCCTCATGGCCGGGGCTGAGCTGCCGAAGTGGCACAACCTGTTCCCTTCCTCCCGGAACAGCCAAAGTCTCCCGAGCCGGCAGGACGGTGTGGGGGCAGCTCAGCTCGGGGGGAAAAGGCTTTGGCTTCATCCAACCTCTCCTGCTGAGCTGGGAACAACCTGGGTGGCACCCGGAGCCAGAGCCAGCGCTAAACCCCGGGGAGGGGGCACAGAGAACCCTCCCAAAACCCCTGTCCCGCTTTGCTGCAGCCCCAGAGATCCGTCGGGCCAGAAAACCCCGATGAACCATCGGGAAAAGCTCACAGATCCCAAAAGATCTCAACTCCTGCCGTTTCAAGGACTCTGCAACGCCCACCGGCCTCGGGGGCACCGCGTCCCTGCGGCTCCCCCAGGGTGTCCCCGTGCCGTGTCCTGGCATTCCTGGGATGTTCAGTGGGAGTGGGGCGGTGAGAGGGAACATGTGGGGCTGCCCCTGGGATGGGGGAAAGCCCCCGGGGCTGCGGTGGGCTCGGCTGGCACGGGGTGGGATCGGCTGGGACGGGGTGGGATCGGCTGGGACGGGGTGGGATCAGCTGGGACGGGGTGGGATCAGCTGGGACGGGGTGGGATCGGCTGGAACGGGGTGGGATCGGCTGGGACGGGGTGAGCTCCCGGGGGACGGGGTGAATCCCCCGGGATGAGCTGATCCCCCGGGATGGGCTGAATTCCCTCAGGATGGGCTGAATTCCCTCAGGATGGGCTGAATCCCCCGGGATGGGGTGCAATGCCGGCTCTGGGGTGATCCACCGAGGACGGGGCAGCCCCGGGAGGTGCGAGGGGTCCCGGGGGCGGCGGGGCCGAGCGGGGCTGTGCGGGGGCAGCGCGGACGGGCCGGGCTGGAGGGCTCCGAGCCGGGGCCGGTCCCGTCCGTCTACCCGGCACTGCCCGGGAACGTCCTCGCTCCGCCGGCGGGTCCCGCGGCCCCGGGGACGGACCTGTCCCGACGCCGACAGTGACCCCGACAGTGACCCCGATCCCGACCCCGACTTCGGCACCTCCCGGAGCCCCTCCCGGAGCCGCTCCCGGCTCTCACCTCTGCGCCCGGGGCGCCGGAGGCTCCGTCGGAACAAGTTGCCGATGGAAGAAGCCATGGTGGCCCCGGCGCGGAGCGGCCCCCGGGCGACCCCGGAGTGTTCCTGGCGCGTTCCCGGAGCGGCCCCGGCGCGGCCCGGGGGGAGGGCTCGGCTTCCGCCCGCCGAGCTTTCGCTTTCCCGGGGGAGGAGGGACGGGGCGGAGAGGAGGAGGAGGAGAGGGAGGAGGAGGAGGGAACCGGGCAGCACCTGGCACCCGCCGGGCACCGGGGACTTTCCCCGGGAGCGGGGGCGCTGGGGCGCGGGGGGGCCGGGAAACCGGGAGAACCGGGAATGGAGGGCCCGGGAGCATCGGGAATCAGCGGAGCGGGGAGCCGAGGATGGAGGAACCGGGGGTGGGGGATCCGGGAGTACAGGGATGCGGGGAGAACCGGGAATGCGGAGGAGGAGTCAGGAGCACCAGGCACGGGACTGGGAGCACCGGGAATAGGGGAGACGGGAGCACCCCGGGGCATGAGGCTGCCAGGAGGAACCGGGAATGAGGCATCCAGCAGAACCGGGCGCGGAGGGAGCTGAGCACCCCCACGAACGGGGCTGGGCACCCCGGTGGGGGGACGGGCACAGCCCAGGCTGGGGCACAACTGGACACAGGATGGGAACCGGGGCACGGACCCCGGGGACAAGGGATGGCTTTGCCCTTCACCACAGGGGTCGAAACATCCACCCCCAGCGCTCCAGCACTGCCCACACCCTGCTCCGACCCCCCCCCTCCCCCCCCCCCGAGCCCTTTTCTCCACAGGAACCCCCCAGAGCCGGGGCCGGGGGTGACACGGACCCGTCCCCTCCAGGGCACGGGGGGTTTGGGGTCTCCTGCTCTGCGAGGTGATGGGGAATCAGCCCATCACCCACCCCAGTGATGCTTCATTCCCAGGGGCTGCGAGCTCCTCCCGGCTCTTCTCGGGAGTTCCGGAGTTGTGCTTTCCCTCGGGATGACGTTTCTCCACCGGTCAGGGATTTGTTCCCCCTCCCAGGTGCTTCATCCAGCGGGAAGAGCAGTTCCTTAGTGCTGCAATCCCGGCTCTCCCTGTCCCGGAGCTGCTCGGCTTTGCTGGGTGGTTTTACTGCCCCAAACCCGCAGGGAAAATCTCTCTAAAACCAGTGATCCCTTTAAAAGAAAAAAATCCCCCTTTCCCATCCTCAGCTTGTCCACACCCCTAATATTTCCTCTGGGACAGTGCTTAGACAGTAATTAAAGATCCCTTCTAACCCAAACCATCTCTGGTCTGGTAATTTAAGTAGTTTTATACCTTCTGTGGCCTAATTAAACACACGGAGGGACCTCGGGCACATTTATTAGGGCTGTCTGTGTGATGAGCTGTGTACAGTTCTCGGCCTCAGTGGGGCCATTTGCAGCTGTGGAGCAGATTCCCTGTACCAAATATCCCAATCTGCCATGTTTTGCAACACCTCCCATCATCCCCTTCCCTTTCCCGAGCGTGGGCCGGAGTTCGAGGGTGGGTTTGTAGCCGGGGGGAACGGCCTTTGCCAGCTCGCAGAGGTGGTGGATGCTTCCAAAATCCATCCCCACCGGGGGATGAGCCTCTGATCCAGCCAGGATTCTGCCTCCTCCTTGGGGTTATCAGGGAATTGCTGCTCCAGGAGTCATTTTCGGGCCGGTTTTGAGTGGGTGGCAAAGCATTTGTGCTTCCCGGAGGAGGGAGCAGCAGTTTGTTTGCACACAGGGCTTGTTCCCAGGACAAATTTCCTCCTTGGCACGAAGAGAAAAGAAAAAGTTCGGGGTTTTCCCCCTTGGTTTTGGAGGAAAATCGCTGCTTTCCTGGAAACCGGCACCACCGGAGGAAAACAGCTGCTGCCTCCAGCCGAAAGAAATCCCCGAATTCTTTGATTTCGTTCCCAAATACACAAATCTTTTCTGCTTTCTCCCTTTAAGGAAAATCTCCGGCCGCGATCCCGCCTCGATAACGCCGCGATTCCTCTCAAGCGGCTCCTGTGCGGGAAGAAAAGCGCCGCGTTCCAGCCCCCAACACCTCCCTCTCCCGAGGAAAACACTGTCCCTTTGTGCCCCCGCCCAATCCAGCGAACCTCGCTCTGCCGAGGGAGCTGGAACTGCTGAATATTCCCACTGAAAGCTTTCTGCGGGAATTCTGCCGCCCACCGGGACAACAAACGGCCGCATTGTGGTCCCGGAGTGGCTCCGCTTCCCTGGGCGGCCTCACGGTCTTTTGCTTTGGGATTTTTTCCCTCCTGGAAGCCCCCGGTGGTACTGAACACGCGTTGGAATTCGGTTTTCTGCGGAATATCCCGGTGGGAGCATCGCGTTGGGAGCGGGGTGTCCTCAGTGCCGGCAGCCCGCTCGTCCCACAGCCTCCTCCTCCTCCGGAGGAGGAAGGCTCGGACTGTCGCCCCTCGCTCGTCCCGGGGCATCCTCACCCCTTTCCCACCCCCTCGCTGCGTTCTGGGAGAGGATAAAGGTGCCGGAGGAACTCGAGGGAGCTCCTTGTGAGCTGTTCCCGTATTTCCCGTCGCATCCAGGCTGGGATCGGGGCTCGGAGACACAGGATGGGGTCCAGCCGCAGAATCCTGGCAGGGAGATCACCGAGGGCGTCCCGAGGTGTCCCGAGGTCCTCTCTTCCAGCCTTTCCCATGCCAGGGAGTTTTTCCCACTGGATGGCAGCATTAGAGCAAGGAAAACACCCCGGGAGACTTTGGGGGAAGAGGGACCTCCCCTGGAGAGACTTTTTCCTCTGGTTATCCCACCCCCCCGAGGGGTTTTGCTTGGGCTGAGGACGGGTGGGTTCAGTCCACTTGTGTTTACAAAATTCCCGCCACTGATTCCTCTCTCTCCCTGCCCTCTTTGGTGCTCTGTGGTCACTCCCAGCTCCCAAAAACGGGGTGTCCTGGAACATCCTCTGCCTGTTCCTCTTCCCCCTGATGTCTGTGGGTGCAGGGGGATCTCCTGGGACAGGGGGGCTGGGGCACTCTGAGCCATGACCAGGAGAAAAACAATCCCGGACTGGGCAGGGAAAAGAGATGTCAGCCCTCGTGGAACACCAAACTCACGGCTTCTAAATCCCCCAAATCCCTCCTTGTTCCAATTTCAGGGGTGCAGGGGTGACAGTCAAAGTCACACTCCCTCAAAATTACCCATTTTTTCCATGGAAGAAGCTTTAGGGCCCATTCCTTGGGGGGGGGTGGGGTGGGGGGGTGGTGTTGCAGAGGAGGCTGCAGAGCTCCCAGGGATTGGGAAACAAACCACACTGGCCATTTTTCCTTTCACTTCATGGATTTAAACCCCAGTTCCCTGGTAGGGCTCCAACCCCCGACCCCAAACCAGGGCTTTAAGATTTACTGATCTCATACTCAGTGCTAGTCCCACACCCAGCACTGACCCCACACCCGGCACTGACCCCAGAGCCATTGCTGACCCCACACCCATTGCTGACCCCACAACCAACACTGACCCCACACCCAACACTGACTCCACACCCAACACTGACCCCACACCCATTGCTGACCCCACACCCATTGCTGACCCCACTCTCAGCACTGGCCCCACATCTCTCCCCATCTCCTCCTAAAATCCAGGATTTCCATCTCGCTCCCCCTCCAGGAGCTGGGGGGTCCCAGGTGGGCAGCACCCTCTGGTTCCCCTGGCAGACTCCAATCCTGGCCCAGTCCGGGCTGTGGGATTCGCTAATCCCGAGGCATCAGTGGCATCCGGGGCCGTGATTTACTGCGGGCTTTGCCACCCCGAGTCCTTTCCCAAAGGCCAAGCTAAGTTTACACTGGGATCGGATGACGGGCCCTGGCAGCTCCCTCCCCCCTTCCCTCCGGGCGGGAAAGGACGGCCCAGCTCCTTCTGCATCCCCCAAAAAGGGGGGAGCCGGCAGGAAAAAGGGGAACCTCTAGGGTGTTGCCCCTTTTCCAGATGCTGGGCGGGACTGGGGCACAGCCTGGGAGCTCACGGGGAGCCCAAAGCTCTGCTGCGCCCCGGGACAGCGGGGAGGTGTCCCCTCCCCAGCCTGGCCGTGTCCCCTGCCCGGGGCTTTGCAGGTTGTGACAATAAATCAGGTCCTCGCCTCCAGCGGTAGCCGGGGCTGAGCCGGAGCCCCGCCCGTCCCTCGGGATTCCTGCGGGGTTTGACCACCCCCGTGAGACCCCCCGGAGCTTTACAGGGGCTGGATGGGAATGACGCCTCTGGCCACCATTCCCAGAGGGATCCCGGGGCGTTTCCATCCTGTGGGAAGGGTGGGATCCCCTTCACATGCTGGGAAGAGTGGGGGGGTTCCCCATCCAACAGCTGGGTCGTGGAATCCCACACTGTTTTGGGTTGGAGTGACATCAAAGCTCATCCCGTCCCACCTTTCCATGGGCAGGGACACCTTCTGCTATCCCAGGTTGCTCCAAGTTTATCCAACCCAGCCTTGGGCACTTCCAGGGATGGGGCATCCTCTAGGAATTCCATCCAGCCCCTCATCACCCTCCCAGGAAGAATTCCTTCCCAATATCCCATCCATCCCTGCCCTCTGGCAGTGGGAAGCCATTCCCTGTGTCCTGTCCCTCCATCCCTTGTCCCCAGTCCCTCTCCAGCTCTCCTGGAGCCACTTTAGACCCTGGAAGGGGCTCCAAGGTGTCCCTGGAGCCTTCTCTTCTCCAGGAGAACCCCCCCAGCTCTCCCAGCCTGGCTCCAGAGCAGAGGGGCTCCAGCCCCGGAGCATCTCCGTGGCCTCCTCTGGACTCTCTCCAGCAGCCCCACGTCCTTGTGCTGTTGTTCCCAGGGCTGGGGCAGCTCTGCAGGGGGGTCTCAGCTGAGGGGGCAGAAGGGCAGAATCCTCCCCTCCCCACTGCCCACGCTGCCCAGGGCACAAGGGGTTCTGGGCTGGGTCCTCTCCAGCCTCTCCCCCACCAACCCCCCAGGTTCTTCTCCCAGGGCTGCTCTTGATTTTTCTTTGCCTCAGAATTTCTCCTCCTCCTTCGGGGGCAGCTCTTGGAAAGCACAGGATCCCTCCCCCTCTGTCCCTTGTCCACGGATCCCTCGGGGTCTGTGTCCCCTCCC